TATATTAGCTGTACCCGCGCGGTTTAATGATTGTAGTGCGCGAACTACTGATAGCGGTAAGTTTTTGTTGTAATAAAGTTTCTCAAACAGCTAATCCCAGTTACAGCTATGAAAAGCCTTATTTGCATCTAAACTACAGATATATACTGGCAAGTTATTATTATTATAATGTTTTAATGTCTCACTCAATAGGAACTCTGCATACAGGGTGGAGCTATTTTGCTTGAAACCAAATTGATGAGAGTGGCTGTCTGATATTTCCGGACATACTTGCATGATAATATATTCAAAGAGTTTTGTCAAGATAGGTGTAATACTAATACCGCGATAGTTATCTGAATTATTAAGAGATTTTTTATAGGAGTTTACTATTGGGATAATTATGGAAGTTGATAAGTACTCTGGTACAGCTCCATTATTAAAGATACTGTTATATAACATTGAAAGCCACGAGATTATTAGAAGAGTATTTAAGATGTTCTGCAGTAATTCCACAAGAGTCACGTGATCTATTAGACTTTAGCTTACAAATACAAGATTCAATATCGGAAGTTGATAAGAGTATTTTATTAGGTTCAACTATAAGTTGGGAAATATTGCGGTGTTCGGAATTGTTGTTAGTAATTGTGGGAGTGTTGAGAATTGTATTAAAGTTTTGTCGAAATTCTTCTACAATTTCCTTTCCATCTTGTTTCTTATTTATCGTAAAATTACGAGTGTTCGGACTAGATTTAATTTTTCGGATATTGTTTCAAAACTTTTGAGAATTAGTTTTTCGAAAATATTCAATGTTTTTGGTAATTTTATTGATTTTTAGGTTATGAGCTGCTTTTACTGTTTTACGAAAATTTTTACGAGCTATCTTGTATTTATTAAATGAAATGGATTCCTGCGATCTGTTATAGTTACATTTTTTCCATTCTTTAAAGTGGAAAGAGAAAATGTCTTTCCATAATTTAACTTCCGGTGTCCACCATGATTTAGAGTAAATGCAAAATTCTTTTTTTTGATAACATTCTTACATAGCTAAAGTGGCGGCATTATTTATTTTTTCGCATGTTGTTTGAGTTTGTTTTTCTATTGCTACTCCAATAAAAGCGTAATCTTTAGAGGTTCCGATTATAAATTTCAATAAAGTTGTCATCCTTCCATGCATACTTTGGGATTGTATTGTATTTTTTAAGTATATTTTTTATAACTGGAGTTAAACTATTATTTTTAAGATTAATATGTGTAGCGATGGGTAAGTGGTCACTCATGTTTAAATGTGAAGGAGGAATAATTTTACAGTTTGTAAAGCATTTTGATGATTCTTTTAAAACTGCTATGTGGTCGATGTAAGATGAATTATTTAGTGTTTTATGCTTATAGGTATAGGTAGCACCAGTACCACTAATTATATCCAAAAAAGAAAGCTCGTTTGTTTCAAGAAAATTAGATAAATGCCTAGAAAAGTTGTTACGTGTTTGGTTATTTCGAATTTCCGTGTCTTATATATTTTCAGGAAATGACTGAAAATCGCCGGCAATTATACACTCTCCTTTGTCCTCGTATGTGTTAATGATGGAGGCAATTAAGTTGAGACAGATATTGTTCTAATGATTTAGCAGCCGTGGCGCAGTGGTAGCGCACTTGCCTCAGGAACGTAAGATCCGCGGTTCAAACCACCTCTGGGCAAGTTTTGCGACATCGGTTAGGAAGGAGGCGTGAACTTCCTATTAAATGCTTTTCCGCGGTGCTCTGTGATAAGACCGTAAGGACTTCTTGGGGCACCTAAATCAACATTAAAAAAAAAAAAAAAAAAAAAAATGATTCAGAAGTATTTCTGCGTGAAGTAAGGTAAACTCCAATAAAAATAAAAACACTGTTGCCATATGAATCTTTTATTGCAAGAATGTGTTCATCTTCGTGTATTACGTGAAGAGAAAGCAGTAAGTTTTTACGAACTAAAAAAGCATTTCCACAAAAGGTCTTCCGTATTCTTTCTTTTCAGCAGAGTGAAAAAATAATTGATGTGTCGGAGCTGATAGATCATATAAAATAAATCGCTCGACATTTGAGAGCCAGTGCTCGGATAGAAAAATTATATCAAAAGAGCCAATTAAGGTAGAAATATAGCATGAGTTTGATTTAAGACTCTGTCAGTAAGACTAAAGCTACAACTATTTGAATTTATTGCGCGTTTATCCATTGTGATTTCTGATTTAGAGACACGGCACGAGCTGCGTATAGTTGATGTTCCACATCCGATTGATTTACGACGTCAGATTATGACATAAGAAATTTTTTTTAAAAAGTCATAACCCTGATGAGCGCGCTGTAAGTTTTTTTTATTTCCTCTTTAACTTATAAATTTATAAAATATCTTTGAATATTCTATTATCATTATCATAAATGATATAATTATTGAATATACTTTTATTTGTATTTTTTTATTTTTTAATCTGTTTTTAAAGTTACCTAAGTTTAATTTTTAATGTTTTACTAATTGAAACATGTTTTGTTTTATAGGGGATGTATTGAAATTGTATCGTGACGTGAAGATGTTAATTTTATAGATCCTAAAGTTGACGTTAATTAGTATTTTTGTACTACCAATTGTTAATTGATGATGCAGATGCAGTTAAATTTTTTTTAACTGCATCTGCATAAATAAATTGAATAAATAAATTGACTTCCAATTAATTCATGTGATGTATTTTTTGCTTTCTTTAATTTGAATAATTTTTTTAGATTATTCAGAAGACGTGTTTGTTAAATATAGTCATACAATTGAAAACTATTGAAAATTGTTATGTTTTGTTAATAATGGGTAAATAAAATTAATTTTTTATTTTACAAAGCTATTAGGCATTTTTTAAAACCACAATCCGTAATGATTTGTATTTTATCTATTTAAACGAAAGTCTATGCAAAATCTAACATTTAAACTTCCAGTTATGTAAAATATATCAAATTTTACAGATTTACTTTTACTTGAAAATTTCATTGCGACAATATCTCCTTAATTTTGATTTATAGCCTTTATATGCCGTTTTATAAAGTTTGGTTTATTAAACAGTTTTAAAAGATGATAAAGCATGTTAAGTGGTTGATGTGCTTTGCGTGGGTTCAAATTCTTTTCGCTCACACACTTAATTATTTTTTTTTAATCTTTTCTAATATTCTAGAATACAAAGTAAAACATTTTTAATGGCCTATGGATATTTATATTATAGACATAACATATAAAGATATTTCATACTATAACAAACGAAAGGGAGAGAATTTTTTAAAAAGCTTGTTAAATTTTGTAAAAACATGAGAACGCTTTAGGGAAATTTTTCGCACATATGTCATGAGATACTTACGTTTTAATGTGCTTAAGTAATTAGTTAAGCCTACGCGTTTAACGTGCATTTAAGAGAGACAACTTTATTTCTTATAGCAAAAAATTTTACATGCAAACTTTATCTTTATTCAAAATTAACGGGGCAAGAGTCCTATAAAACTGCGGATGGTCTGAAAAAAAATAATAGAAACTTATTAAAGAAAAAGTTATAAGGTCCCTCCCTTTTTTTTTTCTTCTATTTTTTATAGAACTTATAAAGTATTGAAAATAAATCGTTAACTCAAAACAAAGATTTTTATATTTTGCTCTTTTTTATTTTTTATTGAAATTTATTGAAATAAAGCGAAATTATTAAAATGATCAGAGTGAAATATACTTATAATGACAAGTATACGGGTCATGGTAAGTCGTTATTTCACTTATATAAGTCATCTCATGGTTTTTGAAATTTTTTAAACCGATGGAAATTATTTCACATTTTAAGCGGATGTTCTAAATATAATTTTGGCAGGTTAATACCTGCCAAAATTATATTATTATATAAAATTATATTATTATATATTATTATTATATAAATTATATAAATTATATATCCAACCCATTGATAAATTGCGATTCACACAACGACTACCAAAACGTTTAAAGCTTTTTAAAGTTAATTAAAATCTTTTTTTTTATACTTTAAAAAAGTGAATAACAGGGCTGACAACACGGGTTTTGAAGTGGGGGGGGGGGTACAATTACTTATTTGTGAATAAAGTCCTCTATATCCAGATTTTTCTTAAAAAAAAAAAGGTTCTTTAGAAAAAAAGTGAGGGGGACCCCCGGTGTCGTCGACCTTGAATAATAAGTATAATTTTTCTATATGTATATATATATATATATACTTTTTTTTACCGCTTACTAAAAAATATTTAAGTAAGGAAAAAGTATAGAAAAGCAATTATATTAAAGTTTTAATTAATTCCTTAATAAAAGTTCGCAAGCTGTTAGACGCAATTTTATTACCAAATAATAATTTTGTGTTGCTAAATTTTTTTAATATTATCTTTTTCAAGTGTACAACTTGAATACAATAACGTAACTTTTTTTGCTAAAACATTTTTCACGCATTTATTAGCATAGTAGCGTTAATTTAATGTTTGTACTTTAGATTTAAATAAAGAAAAATTGCCTTAACTCGAACAAATATAAAACCAGCCAAAGTTTGACTTTTTTCAAAAAAACGAATATCGAAATGCCAAAATTTAAAGGGTAGTATTACAATAAACTTTAAAACTTTATAAAAACTATTTTCTTCTAGATTTTCTTGTTGCTAACTTATAAATTTTTTTATATCGATTCTTTTTTTGCTAATATAGAAAAAATATTCAACTGCGATTGTCCCATTCTATCGCTTTTACAGTCTATAATTAAACTAAACTTGATAAAAATTATTTTATAGAAGCAACTGTTTTATTTTTGCAGCCAGTATAGAGATCAATATTCGATACTAAAAATTGCTTAATGAAAATCTAAAATTGAATTTATTTATGACCGGTGATATGAATTTACTTTTTATCATTTTTGCGAGGCGTTACTTTTAAAGATCATTCGGCGTTTAAAAACATTTGTAGCCGAAATCAACAATGATGAAGTAAAAATTAATTGTTTAAATTCCAATGTAAACAAAGGCTCTATTGCATATTTTTATATTCAAGCATCAAATTGTTAAATCCTTATAAAAAAATTTTGTTCTTGATTTTTGTATCTTTATCAATAGTATTGATAATCGTTATTATTCACAATTCTGACCGGATAAAAAAGTACATACTTAAAAAATTAATTATAGCTGTAAATTTAAATTCTACATAATTATTAAAGTTGTTTTTTACAACCAATTTTGTTAGTATTCAAATTACTTGTTTGTTTTAAGAGTTTTAAATCAGAAATTATGTCGATGGCTTGTTAAAGTGATTGTTTCTTCTGTTAAGAAATCAACATAAAGAGTTACTTTAAACAATCAATATATGGAATTATATTTATCAGTTTTATGGCTTTCTTACATCAACTTAAGCTTCTATTATGGAAAAACTATACATTAAAAAAAAGAACTCCAGTAAGTAAATTTTATATTGCATTAATAACAACAAAAAGATTGCAAACTTTTTTTTTTTAATTTTAAACACCTTTTTTTTTAAATTTCAAAATGGAAAGAGTAATTTTAATGAATATTTATGTTGTATGTATAGTATTAAAACTGGTCATAATTTAACTTATAAATTAACTTATTGTTAAGTATATATAATATTTAAAGATAAAAACTAAGAATTTATTGTTATGTATTATATATACTTAGGTATATTATATATTTATTTGTTTCAATAAAATAACAGATGAATTCTATGTCATCATGTGCTGACTCTGGTTAAGCTGAAGTTAAACAGCCTAAAATAATTTTATTTTTTTGCTTGTTGCACTCTCGTCAGTGGAGACTTTTTAAACATAAAGAATATTTATTGGAATAGTGAAAAAAAAAGGTTGCTGCCCCATGCCAAACCTTGAAGCCAATAAATATTCCTTTTGTCTAACAAGTCTCCACTGGCGAGAGTGCAACAAGCAAAAAAAAACTTATTTTAGGCCACTTTACTCTAACTCTTACTTTAAAAACTTTTTTTTTTTCAATTCTATTTTGGGCTATGTATTGACTTTTAAAATGGTTTGAATCAAATTGCAAATGAGTCATTTGCATTGTAATTTGTAATATTATTAGCAAATCTAAACATTTTATTTGTCAGTTATTTTTATTTGATAATTAAAAATTCTCATATAATTTACAAAAAGTTTTAACTTAATACAGAGCCCTGAGGAACTCCTCTTTTTAACGGATTTTCTATTAGTTCTATTTTGTGGTTTATATATCTTTGTTTCCTATAAATGTCTTAAAAACCATGCTAATATTTTTGTACTGCAGCCATTATTGTAGTTCAATATTTTTGTACTGCAGCCATTATTTTAGTTCAATATTTGTTTACTGCAGCCATTATTGTAGTTCAATATTTTTGTATTGCAGCCATTATTGTAGTTCAATGAGTAGTAACTGTTAAGGCTGTAGATCAGATACCTTTAATAAGTCAATAAGATACGCTTCTTGGTACTTGCTGCTATCCATTGATCCTAACCAAAATCCATTGTACTTGCCAGAGCCAGCTGTCACGTTGAGTTTTATTGTTATTGATTAGACTTTTTTTGTTGTTTTTGTAATTTGGTAGTTTGAAATAATTGCTAACTTATACAATTTGATAAAATTTGTTTTTGAAAAATTTAGATATTTTAACTATTTTTTTTAAAAAATTTAGATATTTTAAAGTATTTTATCAAAAACTTCACCTTCCAAAATTATTTTCAGAGCATAATTTTGACTGATGAAATGATTGAAAAAGAAAATTTATTAAATTATATAATGCAGGAGTTATTTTCAAATTAATAATTTACAAAAAAGCGCTTAAATATTTTATACTTTTATATAAAAAAACATGCTCTACAAAATGTTTAAACAAGTTAATTTTATCCAGTATATAGTGAATGAGGTTCAAGGACATAGTTCTTTTGACTTGTACAAATGCTATTTTCCCACTTAGATTTGCATTATTTCTTCAGGTAATTTCATGTGGTTTTCCATAATTATATAATATACCTTAGACATAATGGTAGCACTTTTTTATTTTATGGTATAAAAAGTAATTATCATTAAAAAAGTTTTAATTTAAAAATTTAAATCACAATCATCATCATCTTTGTCATCATCATCATCATCATCATCATCATCATCATCATCATCATCATCATCATCATCATCATCATCATCATCATTATCTTTGTCATCTTTGTTATTATCATCATTATTATCATTGTAATTATCACATCATCATCTTTGTTACATTCATTATCTTTGTCATTGTTACTATTATGTTATCATCATCAGTATAATCATCATCATCATCATCATCATCATCATCATCATTATCATCATCATTATCTTTGTCATCTTTGTTATTATCATCATTATTATCATTATAATTATCACATCATCATCTTTGTTACATTCATTATCTTTGTCATTGTTACTATCATTATTATCATCATCAGTATAATCATCCTCATCATCATCATCATCCTCATCATCATCATCATCATCATCATCATCATCATCATCATCATCATCATCATCATCATCATCCTCATCATCATCATCATCATCATCATCATCATCATCATCATCATCATCATCATCCTCATCATCATCATCATCATCATCATCATCATAATCATCATTTTTGTCATATTCATCATCTTTGTTGTTGTTATCATTTTTATTATCGTCATTATTATCATCATCCTTATATTATCATCATCATCACCACCATTAATTTAATGTCCCTTTCGTCTATCTTTGGTCTGCTACACGATCTTTTTGGTTCAGACAGGCAAGGAAGTTTCTTTATTTATTCTCATTGATTTTAAGTCAAGCTTCACTCTAATCATAATCATTTTTTTTCAAAGTTGAGTTCTCAAGAGAGAAAACTTTCTTGAGAACAAAATGTTCTTTTAACTCATCTCTTGAATTAAATTTTTTGAACTAAATTTTTTTTTTGAACTAAATTTTTTTTTTTTTTTTTTTGGAGAATGGCACCTATGGTTCTCATTTTAAAAACTTAAACTCTATCATCCAACTAGTTTTCTCTCTATTATAAGCAAGGCATTTGTACTTTTAATTAACAATCTTATAATATCTCAGTTGCATCTCATTGACAATTAATTTTGATTCTCTCGTTCTGCAGCTGACTTGTTTACTGTTATAAATAAAAGGTCCTGAATTTTCATTACTATTACTCTTAACATATCACAGGCTTTTGTGTCTGGCATGCAAGACTTCTCCATAAGTCTTCTTTATATAATGCATCTGAGAATATTTTTTAAGTTATTGAACTATACTTTTCTAACAGCATTATTTAAGTCATCTTTAAAAGACAACACTATTCTTGATTTCCAGTAACTTCTAGGGTATTACAAGGCTTTTTCCTGAATCTTACTCACAATTTTATATCTAAAGTTGTTCTATTTGCTGATGACACAAATATATACTCAAGTATATATTTGTGTCATCAAAAGGACTGAATTAGGAGACAAAAGATTGACAAAAGGACTGAATTAGGAGACAAAAGACTGACAAAAGGACTGAATTAGGAGACTAATTGTCTCCTAATTCAGTCCTTTTGTCATAAAATATTTTTATGTTGATGAATGCTGCCATTCATCAACATAGAAATATCAGCAGATAACTTTTAGCAGTTAATAACTGATTAGGCCAGGTGAATAAAAAAAAGCAAATGCTTTTACTCAGTAATTGGTCACTTTTACATGAATAAAAACTTCTGCAGTTTTTCACAAATTTTTATTCACGTAAAGTTAAGCAATTTACTAAGTAATTGCTCAGTTTTATGTGAATGAAAACTTAAGCAAAATTGCTGAAATTTTAATTCACGTAAAGCTGACCTGGCCTAATCAGTTATTTACTGCTAAAAGTTATCTGTTGATATTTTTATGTTGATGAATGGCAACACTTTGACTTAGTCTCCTAATTCAGTCCTCCTCAGATTAGCTTTCACTACTGACCTTATTTATTATGAAAAAGTTTCATAAAAGTAAAGTTTCAATGAGAAACTTTATTATAAAAAAATTTCATAAAAACAAAGTTTCAATGAGAAACTTTATTTATTATGAAAAAGTTTGATAAAAATAAAGTTTCAATGAGAAACTTTATTTATTATGGGAATTTTTTTCAAATTTTTTGTGTGAAACTTATGTAAAAATTTTTAATGGTTTAATATTCAATTATATTTACAGTATTTAATATAAATTTCTTAGTTTATTCTGTGCATTGAGTTAGTTGTCCCACTTATACTTTTCCTGATTCTTGTAACCATTCGCATTCACAGGCAACCTATACAAAGTAAAGGAGGTATGGTTATATCTTTTTAAATTTAAATCTAGAAATAAAAAAAGTAAAAAAAGTTATTTTAAATTAGTTTTTATTTGTTTAAAGTTAAAATTAGAAAAAAATATTGTTTTATCTAAATTTTAGATTCATGGTATCCTAATGCTCTTCCTTCCGCTGGCATTGTTGCTTTGTTACAATCATTATGCAAAGGTGGCGACAAAATAGGAAGTAATGGATACAAATACTATCCTAATGCCAGGTAGATTTTTTTAAAGTTTTTTTTTTTTTAATTTTTCTATTCAATTTTTAATAAAGTCTAAAATTATTTCTAATTTTTGTTTTTCATTAAAACTTTGTTTTATTAGGTTATAAATAAATTTACAAGTTTTCTGTTGTAGCATCAATCAGATACTTTCTGACATAGTTGATGTTTCAAATACACCAGTTCTCAAAGCATTGATTGATTTTAAAGAACTCGAAGAAGATTTTACTCAACTCAATTTAAAAAATTTTAGTAACAAGATCGATGGTAAATCATTTTATTTTATTTTGTTAAACTTGCGTTGTTAACAAATCAGAGGTATAAAAGAAAATCAAGAGAATTTAGAACTATCAGGATAAATAGGAATTTTACTGATTTCTTAATTTAATTTTTAAATAATTGGACATTCTAATGTCCATGGGGTATCAAATTGTCCTTGTGGTGTTTAAAGTCCATGGTTGCCTAAAAAAGTATGATAATTTTGAAAAAATATGAAAAATTGCCTCTAAAATCAGAAAACATTTTTTCAAAAACCTTACTGGGCTTGAAATTTAATTCCAAAGTATATATTTAGTTTATAGGAAATCAGTTTATTTGTTAGCTGTTCAATATACATATTATTTTTGTTTAGATGTTCGATTTCAAAATATGTTTAACAGTAAAGACTCTCTACAATCCTTTTTTTTAAAAAACTTGTCACTGCCAAGTAATATAGTTGATGACTTAATGGATACTAAATTAAACAGCTCAAAGGTTTTTTTTTTTTGTTCTATTTTTTATTTAAGGTATTGTTTTATAAACAGCTTTAAGTTTTTTTTTTTTTTTTCAATATGATACCAGAGTATATTTTTATATGATACCGGAGTGTAATTTCTTTTTAAAATTGTCTGTTAAAAATGCTTTTGACAATATTTTTAGCATGACTGAAATTAATTTAATTTAGCAAATAGTTATATATTAAATAAATATATATTTTTTTCATAAAGATAAAATAAGTTATAACATGATATTCCTAAATTAAATACTATTGCAATAAAATAATTATGGATTGACTAACAATTGAATAGCTGTGGTAGTGGTAATGTTGAGCATTAAACCACCACAACCACCACCTCAGTTTTTGGGAGGTGAATAAAAACAGAATAATGAAACTGTTGCAATTTAAAAACTGTTTAAGTGAATATTGCAGTTAATTAGAATAATTAAATTGAAATTAATAAGTTAAAAATAATTTAAATAAAGTATTAAAATAAAATTAAAAACTTGAAAATAGAAATAATTGTAAAATGCTATTTTTTATTTGTTTTCAATTTTTAGATATTTACATTTCTTAAAGACAATTATATGTTAGTTAATCTTTTTGTCAGCAACTATACAAAAGTTAATGACATTCAAAATGAGTTTCAAAATCAAAATGCTTTTACTAAGATGGAAGAAATAAATAGTTTTTATGAATCAAGTTTTTTATCTGATGAAATAAAATCATCTGTTTGTTCACCTGATTTTTTGGATTGGTTTAGTGATGAAAAAGTCAGACAAGATGTAAGGAACTCTTTTAAATGTTTTAATATTAATGTCAAAAATATTTTACAATTCTTATATTTGTATAACTTAGTTTAATGTAAGATTTTAAAATATGATTTTTTTTTAAAGTATTTATGCTTTTGAACCAACCTTCTATTTTTATAATATTATATAATATATGGTATTTTTATAATACTATTTTTATAATATTTCTGTGTTTAATAGTTAAGTAATTATATATTCTTCAAATAGAATTCATTACAAAAGTTTTTATGCAACATGACCAAAGAACAAGTGTTAGAATTATCAAAACAATTGAAGTTATCACTCAATTATAGTAAGCTTTTCGAAATGGTGAGTTAGTTTTAATATTTCTATTAATATATATTTAATATTTTTATTAATACATATTTATTATTTCTATTAATATGCATTTAATATTTCTATTAATACATTATTTTTTTTTTTATTAATATATATTTATTATTTCTATTAATATATATTTAATATTTCTATTAATATATATTTATTATTTCTATTAATATATATGTATTATTTCTATTAAAATATATTTAATATATGTATTAATGCGATAGTGGTTTAGTGATAGAGTGCGAAGTTCAGAGTTTGATCCCCACCGCGTCCCTGGTAGTACCGCGCTCAACTTGTTTCTCCTCGCAGCGGCCTTGTTCGTTAAGGTTCATATTTCGGAGTTATAGAGTTGAGAGAAGGTTGTAATCACACAAAAAAATAGCCTCCTTGACTGTAGTGGCCTTCTCGGCCTTGGGAAGGTGAATAATTTAAAAAAATAAAAAATACATATTTATTATTTTTATTAATATGTATTTAATATTTTTATTGATATGTATTTAATATCTCTATTAATATATATTTATTATTTCTATTAATATATATTTAATATTTCTGATAATATATATTTAATATTTCTATTAATATATATTTATTTATGTAAGACTTTATGCTTTTAAGATTATAATACAAAAAAATGAATTTTTATCTGTTTTGTAATAGCTGAATATCAGTCAACTTTTACAGTCAGAATATACAGAGAAAGCTGAAAAGATTAGAACTGGTGTAAGAATTTTTATTATATGTTTTTATTTGTTTGCATTTTAAAACCTAAATTATAATAAAGTTAGTGGAAATTCTTCTTCTCATATATAATTTTTGTTACTATTATTTTCTAATATATTTAAATTTTATTAAACTAACATTTTATATTTAATAGCTTTTCAAAATGAGCAAACTTGAGGATGCTTTCAAAACACTCTCTAAGCTTGCAAAAGATATGAAATTAAACTTAACAAATATTGAGAGGCGAGTCAACAGTTCTCGCTCTCACCAAGCTAAACAAAATATGAATGATCTATGGGCAGTTCTGTCACCATTAATTTGTGGAACTCCTCCTGAGCCTAGTTCTGATGAACATCATAATCATAGAAGTCATGATTCATTTTCAGACTTGCTGAGTGGATCAGGTGAATCTACTCGTGCTTTGAAAGTAATGTTGTATATGATGACAAATGATCCAATGATACTTTATTCACCAAATGGTACTGATGCTGATAGAGTAATTTCCAAGGTATGATAAGATCACAGGGATAAGTAAGCATTTTGTAATGTATATGGGTATTTAAATGACAAAAAACATGTTTTTGTTGTTGTTAGAAATGTCTGATCAAGCCTCAGTTTACTACAATCCCATTTCATGTCGCAAGCTTTTCTTTTCTTTTTATATCACTTGCGATTTTTTATAAAAAATTTTTGCATTTAGGGGATTTATTGCATATTCTAGTCGTTTTTCAGTATAGGGCTAAGTGTAGACTAGAAGTAATTTGTGTAAATAAAAGTAGTATTGTGAACAAGTATTGATATCATTCACTTTTCTACTTTCAGATAAAGCACATGTCGACATAAATGCCATTAAATTTTTTAGTTTATTTGGGTGCTTATTTTATAAAAAAATGTGCTCTTTTTTACAACAACAAAGTATAGACAAATGTAAATAAACAATTTACAAATACTTTAAAACTCTTTGCTTTTAATGTGTTGTAATTAAGTTAGCAGGTGATAAGAAAAAAACTTCTTTGATAAATATTTTACATTCATTTGAAACTAAATTTTATATTCAATGTTTTATTATTTTACATTCCTTCAAAACTAAATTAAAATTTTTAAAATCATTTCATTTAAAGTTTTTTAATATTAAATGTTTTTTAAAAAACAATTTGCTTTTTGAAAAAATTCTCATTTGCGGTTAAATGCTTTTTTTTACGCTCTAATATTCTCTGAATAAACATCTCTAAAAAAATGGTATTTTTGTTTAAACAATAAAAGTTTTTAGTTTTTATATTTAGGAAGTATTTTATTAATTACATTAAACATACAATTTTTTAATGTTCTAATTAGTAAAAGAATTAGTAATAGAAAATGCAGTAAACAAACTTGTGACACTGACTTTAAAAATATAGTTTTATTATTATTTTAGTTTTCTTTTTATAAAATTATTAAATTAAAAAAAAAAAAAACTAGAACTGCCAATAAAAATCAATAGTTGCCCTTTCGAACGACTTCATTGCATCGAAGGAATATTTTTGGTCACTCTTCATCCTGTGGTCCTGGTTTTATTTTTATTTTAATAATAAAGGAAAGTTTATTTTATTTTTTATTTTAATAATTAAGGAAAGTAATACTATTACTTTCTTTTTTTTTTAGTCTGCATACATTCTTAATACTATGAAGTCAAGTAAAGACTTAGCAAATAAATGGCTTTCAATGTCATCTGGATTTCAGTCTTTTTTATATAAAAATCAGACTCAAATGTTTTTAAAAGATTTACTAAAGTTAGTTGACAATTTTTCGAATTTGAATAGGAGCATTTTTCAAGAGTATGACGATATTTTTAACATATCTTCTGAGCTGCAAAATTATTTGGTATCCAACAATAAATACAGCCAATTTAATTTTTCCAAGGAAGCATTGAAGCAAGTTATAAGTTCTTTCATTGTCTCAAATCATCAGACCAATTTAGTTTTAAAACAAATGAGATTAATTGATTACATGGCTAAAGGATGGGTTGCCATTTTTGATCCAATGAAGTTGGATCTGTTTAGTGGTTTTCCTAATGAAACTTTGATGATGGAATACATTAGTAATATTACATCAAACAATAAGGCTAGGAAGCCTATACTTTCAGCTATTGTTTTTGACAATATTAATCCTGATGGAAGTTTACCAAAGCATGTTGTTTACAGAATAAGAATGAATAGTCTTACATTACCTTCCACTCAAAAAATTCGCACTCCATATTGGGTTCCTGGTCCTCAATCAAGTCAATCAAGTTATTTTCATTATGGTTTTGCATGGCTTCAAGATCAACTTGAAAGAGCAATCATTGAAGTACAAACAAATCAAAGTGTTGTGGCTCCAGGATTATATGTTGAAGAGATACCTTATCCTTGCTACCTTGATGATAAGTGAGTAATTTTTATAAATTTAAGTTATGATACTGTTGTACTTCAATCTATAATTAAGGTAGAAAGTTACTTAGATAATTTTATTATAAATTCTATAAATCTTTTTTTTGATGGTTTGATTTTTTGATGCTTGAACTTTAGTTTAAAACCTTTAATTTTATTTTACATTTACTTTTGTGTATTTAACTCAGTATATATATATATATATATATATATATATATATATATATATATATATATATATATATATATATATATATATATATATATATATATATATATATATATATATATATATATATATATATATATATATAAAAGCATAAAATTTGTAATGTATGAATTGAAAAAAACTTTGTGTTTGTAGCTTTATGTTTGTGCTGCAATACATCATGCCTTTATGTGTGGTGGTTTCTTTTATCTACACAGTGGCTATTCTCACACAAAGTATTGTTTATGAGAAAGAGCACCGTTTAAAGGAAGTTATGAAAATGATGGGATTAAGTAATACAGTGCATTGGACTGCTTGGTTCATAACAAGTGTTACAATTATGATGTGCATCGTTATTTTAATGACAGTTGTATTAAAGGTAATATATAGTAATACCTTAGTAGTGTTATAGTTTTTATTTTTACATACTAAAAATTGAAAGTAAATTTATCAGAAGAATTTTAATGTACAAGTGTAATAACAAATGTAGAAAACTTTTAATGTACAAATGTAAAAACTCCAATACATCAAGTAACATAAAAACTGAAATACACCAAGTAACACAAGAACTGAAATACACCAAGCAGATTTAAAACCTCATTAAACATTTTCCCCAATTTATCAAATGTGTTTATACTTTTTATTAACATTATATAAAGCTTTCATATTTTGGTATGTAATGAAAAATTTATAAATTGCATTATTATTATTATTTTTTTCGTTAATTTTTCTGTGGTGAATTTCGAATCTGTTGCTTTCATCTTAATTTTACATTTCATTAATGTTTCTGTTTAAAGAACTGATTCAATCTAAATTGTTTGTGTTTATTCTGTTCTGTATTGTTAGTCAAAACAAAATAACATTATTTCTAAATTTAAGGTTATAGCTTAGGTATTAAGTTTACTATATAATGTAAGATTTATAGCAAAAGATTTAATGATTTTGACCCTGAATTAAAATTTTTTTTTAAGAATGTATGTAGATTTTGAAATTCATATGATTTCTTCAAAATTTTCAAATGTTTTGAAAATTTTTTCTTATTTATAGTTTGGTGGTATTTTGAAATATAGTAACACTGCAATTGTGTTTTTATTTCTAACACTTGCTGCTCTTGCTACAACTAACTTTTGTTTCCTGATGAGCATTTTCTTCTCAAAAGCAAAAATTGCTGCTGCATGTGGTGGAATAATTTATTTTGTGACATATATGCCCTATGTTTTTATTTCTGTTCAAGAGGGTGGAAGCCATCCTCAAAAAATTGATGCTGGATACAAATCGCTGGCTAGTCTGTTCTCTACTACTGCTTTAGGATTAGGGTCTAGATATTTTGCTTTATTTGAACAAAATGGTGTGGGAGTTCAATGGGATAATATTGGTTCCAGTCCAGTAAGTTGTCAATTTTGATAAAAAAAATTTTTTTAATTGATTTATTTTTAACTTATTAGGTTTATTTATTTTTAAACATAGGCTGAAGATGACACTTTTAATCTGCTTCAAGTCATATCAATGTTTGTAGTTGATATATTTCTGTATGCCATATTAGCTTGGTATATTGAGGCAGTTCATCCAGGTACTTATGGAATTCCACGTCCATGGTACTTTCCTTTTCAACTATCCTATTGGTTTGGGCCAAATTTTAAAACGGACTCTAGCCTGTTTAAATGTTTTAATACTTACAAACGGGTTCACTCAACACTTAACGTATACCCTAATACTCCAGCTTTACTAGCAATGGAGCAAGAGCCGTCTCATTTAAAGCTTGGTGTTGTCATTGACAGTTTGTTTAAGGTTTGTATTTTCTTATGTATACCTACATACATCAAGTTTGCTTTCAAAAAATAAGTTATTTACTAAATTAGTTAATTAACATTACATTTGAGTTACTTATAACAGTTCTTAGTTATTATTTATGTAGGTTTTGATAATTTAGTGAGTTATTTTTTTTTCTAATCTGATATGTTTTTTTTTTCTGTTTATGTATGTAACTTAATTCATTAATATGTATCTTTTTACTTAATTCTTAGATAAATAGAATAAGTTCTTTACTTATTATGGGGAATAATTTGATATTTCTATTAATATTATTCAATAAATATTTCGTTAAGCTCACAGTTAGTTCAATAAATGTTTTTTCACATTACGTTCATTGTAAACATACATTATAAATAATATAAATAAAAATAAAACTTTTCAATTTAAGATATAAGAATATGCTCATTATCTTTTATTTATATTGGAAGAAACGTATATAGTTTTTTTTCTTTTAAAAATTTTCTCTTGAGGGAGCGCAAGATGAAAATCTAAATATCCAAAAATGAAAAATCCAGACTAAATGATAATTTCGTTAACTAATATTAACGTTAATATTATTTATCCGTTAACTAATATTCCGTTAAATTCAGACTAAATAAAAGTTCTGTTAACTAATATTCCATTAATATTATTTTCCATCAACTAATATTCTGTTAATATTCCGTTAATAAATAATAATTCTGTTAACAAAAGAAAGAAATAACTCTTAAAGTTAACAAAGAAAGAAATAACTCTTAAAGTTAACCTACAGTCTTTAAAATTAGTTTTGTCATCAAATGGATAAATAACTATTGTTATTAAATTTAACTATGATAATAAAGAATATCCTTTTAACAACTAAAAACATGCAAGTAAAGGTGCATGCACAACAGAATGAGTTGTGTGTACACATCAGGACTTATCTATCGAGTTATGATATGTTCATTCAGATTCAGTTAATTAGAAATAAAACTGATTCTGGGATTTCATTTTGTATATTTTTCATGTTATATATATTTTTTCTAATTCTTTCATTATTGTCTCAATTAGTGTATTTTGGCTCCACATGTACCTATATCCTCACTATTTGTTTTATTTGTTTGGTTCTTTCCTATGCCAACCGATTTGTCTTTGATGCATTAAAAAATCCTATTTGTAAAAGTACCAATTCCTATTTGTTGTACCAATTGTTGTACCAATTGTTGTACCAATTGTTGTACCAATTGTTGTACCAACCTTGAGCTTGTAGGAAAAGTAGCTTTTGTATAGATATCTTTGATCAATACCCTTTGAATTAAGAAAAGTTAATTAAATAATTTAAAAACATGTTAATATAAAATAGGATAATGAAATAATGTTTTAATGGTTAATGTCTTTTTATAAATTTAAAATATGACAGATTTATGCTTAAATAGCTGTCATGTTTTAAAAAAATATGCAGTTAACACTTAAACCTAAATGTTTAAAAAGAGCTCAAGAAACCTTAATTAAGGTGATAATAAAAATTAATTAGGTAGTAATAAAAAATATGTATGTTTATTTTAGACATATGGTAGAGGTTTACCTCCAGCTGTAGATCATCTCTCATTAAACCTTTATGAGGGGCAAATTACATCTTTTCTTGGTCATAATGGTGCTGGGAAAACAACAACAATGTCTTTGCTTACAGGATTGTTCCCTCCAACTTCTGGAACAGCTTTGATATATGGAAATGATATTCACACTGATATGGATAAAATTAGAACAAGCTTAGGAATGTGTCCTCAACACAATGTGTTATATGACAAGTTTATTGAATCTGTTTTTTTTCTTTATAAATTTAAAAAAATTTGATTACTTTTTAGTTTGAAAATTAAAGAAAGTATTAAATACATATATAAAAAATGTAAATGAAATATGTAAAAAAAATGTCTATAAATGTTTTTTTAATAATTTTTAAATGTTGTTATTTTTTTCTACAGGCTGACAGTTGAAGAACATTTATGGTTTTATGCTCGTTTGAAGGGTATGCATGAGGAAGATGTTCAAGAAGAAACAAATCAGTTAGCTTTATTTTTGTGAAGGGATAAATGTTACACATTACAGTTTTATAAATCAATTTTAAAAGAAATTGATTTGAATGTAGTTTACATACAGTTTTAAAAGAAATTGGTTTGAATCAGTTTAAATATTGGCATATATCAATCCTTTTTATCAAAAATGTTGAAAAAGCATATGATAATAATAGAAAAAAAAAACAATTCCAAAAAGACTAAGTAAAATAAAGAACATTAAAAATAAGATATAAGAATATTGTGTGTGGTATATATGTCTAAAAATTTGATTACTTTTTAGTTTGAAATTCAAAAATTTTGAATTAGCTATTAGTGATAAGTTCTATTTCATTCTCAAACAAAGTACAATTAATAAAAATGATCAATTTGAATTCTGCAATCCTTCTTTAACTACTAGAAATGTAAAATGTAGCCCAACTGCTAAGTTTAAAAATATATTGCTTGTTTAAATGTGCTTTTCTTATCAAGAATTTTCAGAGATTTTTCTTAATGAGGAATGGCTATTAATTAATGTATATATAAAAGTGTTTTATACATATATTAACTAATCTCTTAGTAACTTTTTTAACTAATCTCTTAGTTTAGCTAAGAGATTAATTGAAACATATCATTTTGACAGTCAATACATAATCTGACTCAATTTAGCGTTAAGCCATTAGGCTTAAAGCAAAATTTACGCCAAGTTTGTGTAATAAAAATTGGTTTTTATCATAGTATTCAAATAATAATTATTACCAAAATCAAAAATGAATTGACGGTTTGCGTCAAATAACTGAATTTGCATGTCATTATTAATTTTGTTATAAAATGACTAATTAAATTTAAAGTGAAACTCATTTTTAAAGTCAACAATATGATACATTTTGTATCATTTTAGCTAATAATAAAAAAGATGTTAAAGTTTCAAACTCAAATCTTTTTTCATCTTTTGACATCTTTTTTCAAGACGACTTGGTCTATTAGTGACATCTTTGCGCAAAAATATGTCTAATTTTCATTTCACATCGTTTTCAGTAAATTGAAATATTTTAAATAAAAATCTAACAATCCTACAACACAATTAAATGATGATAACAATTTAAGTAGTAATAATATTTTGCTTTGTATAAATAAGTAGGATTGTCATTAATAGCAAAACTTTAAGTAATCTAGTAACTAGTGTGAATAATATTACAACAACTGTAAATGTGATACTTAATGTGTTTTTTTTTAATTAATTTGATCAAATGCTAAAAACTGTGATGCATAAAAAGTTCCAAAGGCATAATCAATGTTTTTTTTAATTAACCTCTATGACATTAAAAAACTTTCTATAACGTTCAAAAAATTGATTACAATAATTCAAAAAAAATCGTTTATTTATTCTTATAGCAACAAAATACTTTTTTTTAAGGGAAAAAACCTTTAATATAAAATTTGGAAATTTTTTAAGGTAAGTATTCCTGACAGCCTTATTGGCAGTGAATTTATAATTTTTAATAATCGGAGTTCCTAATTGTGAAATAAATTTTTTTTAAAAATAACCTTATACAGTTGCTAAAGTAATTCATGTAATAATATTTTAGAATTCTGAAAGACATAAGCATGCCTGAAAAACGGAATAGTAAAGTTAATACTTTATCAGGTGGGATGAAGCGAAAACTTTCAGTTGCTATAGCTTTTGTTGGTGGTTCAAGAACAGTAATTTTAGATGAACCAACTGCAGGAGTTGATCCTTATGCTCGCAGGGCTATTTGGGAACTACTTGAAAAATATAAAAACGGTATAAATGCTATATTTTAAATATAATATTTTTAAAGTTATAATCACTTAAGAAATAATGTTCAAACATAATAAATTTGCAAACACAAATAAGTATTTTCAGTTTTTGTTTGGTCAACAGTTAGTGTCAATCTAATAAGTCTTACATTTATATATACATATATATATATATATATATATATATATATATATATATATATATATATATATATATATATATATATATATATATATATATATATATATATATGTATATATATATATATATATACACACACACACACTTACTAAAGCGTGTTTTGATAAGCATTTGCTCACTTTTTTTGCTTACCTTAAGCTATACTGCTTTTCTAGAAAAAGAAGAAAAAAAACAAAGAATGATGAATGAAATGATTGCTGCCCCATCCCAAACCCTCAGTCAATGTAGCAGCACTCCACTACCAGGCTTAGTCAGGAAGCAGGAGTGATCGCTCTCGATTGCTGACCACGTAAATAATATTTAGTTGCAAAAAGCTGGCCAGATTTTTTAGTCATTTTGAGAACATTTTAAAAAGCAAAAAAAAAAAGCATACAAGATTAATTGGCGAAAAAACTTAAAGCTAAATAATTTATGTTTAGAACAAATATTTTCGAATCATCGCTCTTTTGTAATTTTTTTTATAAAATTAAGCGATATTTTTTATATAAAGTAACATCTTACGATTGTTTAAAAAGGAAAAAAATATTCTTCATTTAACAAAGTTTGCAAGTTTTAGTTTTATTTAAGCTAAATTATTTTATAAATAAAAAAGTTAATTTTTTTAATACCTATTTTATGTTTCGCATAGTTTGAAAAGTTTAACATACTTGAAGCAATTCTTCTTAGTAAGATGAATAAATGAAATAATTAAATCATTGAGTTATTATAGAAATTAAATTAACAATATAGAAATCAACTGAAGGTTAAAAATACTTTATGACGAGGAAGCGAAACTGCTTCATAATATCACTGAGGATGTTTAGTGAGTGGGCTTTTTAATTTTAATTAGTATTTAAAGCAGAAAAAAGTATAACGAGTTTTAATGATGGCAACTTAAGCAAAAATAATAAGAGTTAGTAAACCAATATCTAGAAACTTTTCTTTATATCTAATTATTTGCTATATATATTTGTGTTCTGTCGTGACCTCAGGCACGATGCATGTTCATCCGCGAGTTACTTTGTATGCGTTGTTTGTGTTTAGTAACCAGAAACTTCTTATATGTTTGTTACATAACTAGTTTTATTTACTTTCATGATTATAACTTCATTGAAAACGCAATTATTTTTGTAAATCTTTGTTTAAATCATAAAAATTGCTTTAAAAGATACATTACGATAAAAAACAGATACACAAAATTACATTTACATAAAGAATACATACTTTTTAAATAAAAAATAAGAATATACTAATAAAATTTATATTTTATAATAAACTTTTAAAATTTTGACAACTTGATATATATTTAAAAGATTTATTTTTTGTAAACAAGTAATATATATTCTTAAAACAGTTTATGCTAGAAACCTCAAAACGTAACAAATCGAGAATGATACAATTTCTAAAACATTTCAACAGAATCTAGAACTTTATTTTGCTTAGTCAGTGTATTTTTTGAACCATTAGAATTAGTTTGTTCGTTAATTTGGCGGGTTTTTAGTGTTCGCAAATATTCTTTTTATTTTTTCGCACCAAGATGTTTTGAAAACATTCAAGTTTTTTATGTTTCCATGTATGTCCGTCAAACAAAAATATTTTGTTTTGTAACTTAAATGTTCTCAAAACGACTAAAAACCTGGCCAGTTTTTCGCAACTAAATACAACTTCCATGGTCAGTATTCGAGAGCGATCGCTCCCGCTTCCCGACCAAGTCTGCACTGCGAGCCAGGCTATTTGTCAATCGATGTATGTACTGAAGCCCCCAGCAGCAGGCTATTTCAGTATGATGTCAGATTGCTTACCTTAGTACGCAATACTATTTGTATATATATATATATATATATATATATATATATATATATATATATATATATATATATATATATTTCCAATATATACTTTCAACAAGGCTGCAGGCAACCATTATTAGAGTTTAAAGTTGCTAGTAGAATTAGGATAAAGTTTATAGAAAAAGATAATGAATAACATAATTTAAAAGATTGCAAGTTATATAAATCTACATTTTATATAACAATTATTACAAATTATTTATATTACTACAATTTAAACAAATTACTACATTAGTACAATTACATTACATTAATTCAATTACAATAAATTATATAAATCAGGAAAACAATATAAAGGAAGCAAATTCCAAAGAACTGATGTTTGAGAAAAAAAAACTAGAAAAATAAAATTTTTTGGAGCACTTAAGAACATTTACAGTAAAAGGATGAGATTTAATTGAATGACGGTTAACATGAGAATGAATTTTAGTAGATGGTACAAGAGATGCAAGCTCTTTAGAACAGTGCCCATTATAGTATTTATAGAAAAAAGAAAGAGAAGCAACATTACTACGATGTGATAATGGTTGGAGGTTGTTTGCAAGAGCAGGTCCAACTATGTTTACAATGCATTTTTGTGCCTTGTTTAAAAGAGAAAAGGCACCATTCGAAGATCCACTCTAGATATGGCAACAGTATTCCATATAAAGACGGATTTGAAATTTATAGAGATAATGAATAGAATCCTAATTAAGAAATTGGCAAGCACAATAAAGAGATGGAACCTTAGCAGATGCTAATTTTGCAATCAATTTGATATATGGTTTCCAAGAAAGATCGGAAGTAGTAGTTAATCCTAGGAGATGAAAGGTAGATGACTCATGGAGTACATACTGTTCATAAATATAGAAGATCTAGACTATTGTGATAACAATTGACTGAAAAAAGAGTTTTATCTGAGTTAAAGTTCACCAGCCACTGAGAGCCCCATGCTGTAGCATAAGTGAGGTCCTTTTCAAGCTCAAATAAGCAATCAGAGAGTGTTGGCTTCTTTTCAAGACAAGAATAAATGGTAGTATATTAGCGAATGCCACCTTAGATGTGAGAATTTATGGAAAATCGTTAATGTAAATTAAAAAGAGTATAGGGCCAAGATAGAACCTTGAGGAACCTCTGAAGTTACAGGATATGAAGAGGAGTGCTGTCCATTGAGGACAACTTTTATACTACAATTGGTAAGGAAGGATTCAATAATCATAAAGATGTTACCTGAAACACTGTCAGAAGAAAGCTTATGAAGAAGACCAGCATGCAAATCTTTATCAAAGGCTTTAGAAATATTGAGAGTGATAGCCTTAGCATCTTCACATTTATCTAATGCACGATTAAACCTATCAGTTATTGCTGTTAACAAATCAGCAGTAGAACCTATTTACCTATTTACAATGGTTTCTAGCAATAGTAAACAGACGTCTTTTTTCTAGAGAATTGTTTTGCTGATAGATAAGAAAGTAATGGTTACGATTGGAATTTGCAGCAGCACAATGAGCGGAAAACCATAAATAATGAATAAGGGTTTGGGTTGGGGCAGCAATCTAACTTTTTATTATTTTTGCTATTTCCAAAACAAATGTACAAAAAAAAAGTCAGCAAATGTATATCTTATGTATATATATATACTAATGTGTATATATATATATATATATATATATATATATATATATATATATATATTTATATATATATATATATATATATATATATATATATATATATATATATATATATATATATATATATATATACTAATGTGTATATAAATATATATACTAATGTATATATATATATATATATATATATATATATATATATATATATATATATATATATATATACTAATGTGTATATAAATATATATACTAATGTATATATATATATATATATATATATATATATACTAATGTGTATATAAATATATATACTAATGTATATATATATATATATATATATATATATATATATATATATATATATATATATATATATATATATATATATGTATATATATATATATATTTATATATATATATATGTATACATATATATGTATACTTTTTAGATAGGACGATCTTATTATCAACTCATTTTATGGATGAAGCTGACATTCTTGGTGATCGTATTGCAATTATTTCTCATGGAAAATTACGCTGTTGTGGTTCTTCATTATTTTTAAAAACCAAGTTTGGTGACGGTTATCACTTGACTCTAGTAAAGGAAGAAAAAAAATCATCAATACTTTTAGATGGTAATTTATCAATATGTTTTTGTGTTTTATTTTTATTAAAATACTAAATTAATTGCAGAATTAATTTTTCAATGAAAAAGTAAGTTACTGAGACTTTTCTCCAAGACCAAATGGTCACAATAGACTTTTCTTTTTACTTAACAACTACATGAAAGTATGAAAGTATTCACCTTGCATCAAAATGTTCACCCAACATCAAAGTATGCATTCACAGCACATGAAAAAGTTTATAGCAAAATATTCATCTAACGCTTATATATATGCACCTTCAATGAAAAGTTTTACCTTATATTAAATTATATACTTTACACCAAAGTATTCAAAATTGTGGAGAAAAATTTATTGCCAATGCAGGCCTTGTTTTAAAGTGTTAAGCTGCTGGCAATTTATGTACGAGTTAAGCAATTTTACGTATGGGTAAAGCGATTTCCATCAAGCAACTTTTTATCATTTTTTAACTTTTAAAATATTCTATAAGCAATATAATAAAAAAAGTAAATAATTTTATAAAAAAACCCATTATCTTTTGAATGACGATTATGTAAAAAAGTTTGACAATTATGTTAGATATAAGCGCTATTTACTAATGAAAAAAAGCTCAAATAAAATTAAAAACTACAAAAACTCAATCTCTATTAACCTAATTATTTTATCGAAATATGTGACACAAAATAAAATTGTTTATAGTTAACGACAATTTTTTTTTTTTTTTTTTGTATATGAAGTTATTAAACGAAATGCAAAAAATAAAATAAACCATAAAAGAAATTTATATAGTGAAAACTTTTATTAATTATTTTGCAAGCAGAAGAATATTTATACAACTTTTGATTGCAATAAAAAAAAAATCTACTCAAATTTCTATTTAATAATTAAAAATAAGTTAATAAAAAAAAGTTCAATTAATCTTAACTTTATATTTATTATAAAAAAAAGTTCAATTTTATTTTATTTTACTTTTATTTTATACTATGATATTTTTAATTTTGTTTATTTTTTATTTTTTTTATTGTAATGATAGATTTTTTCGCTTGGAAAATGGTAATACCTTAAGCTTGTAGCAAAGATCATAATAATATAATTTAATTATGATAAATTCAAAACTAGTTTAATAAAAATATATAATTTTATTCTGATAAAAAAAATATTTAAAACAAGGCCTGCAATCTCAATCAATGTCAAAATTCAAATTAAGCTAATGTGTTGAGCATTTTTTATTTAAAACTGCGATGTCAATCAATGTCAAAATAGTAACTTTTTATGTAAAAAAATTTATTCACAAAGAAACCTGTGTTGACTGTTAATTATTGTGTTTATATTTTTTTGGGTTTAAAGAAAAAATTTTAGTTTGACAAAATTACTTGTATATAAATTTGGATTTAAAACATAGTTTGTCCTTTTTGTTAAATCGTAAATCTACTTTCAAAATTGTCACTTTTTATTTTCCTTCTTCAAAATTTTTCCTATCTTAATTATCAAACTTCATAGCTTCTTTTTTTTCACCTGTGTGGTTTTTTTTTCACCTGTGTGGTTTTTTTTTCACCTGTGTGGTTTTTTTTTCACCTGTGTGGTTTTTTTTTTCACCTGGGTGGTTTTTTTTTCACCTGTGTGGTTTTTTTTCACCTGTGTGGTTGACTTGCTTGACGTGGCAACTTGACTTGAAAATTAAATTAAATTGAATTAAAGTTGTCCAACTAAATTCAAAATTTAGTTAAATATTCTTAATGTGCATTGCAATGAAAGATTAAAAAAATTGATTTTTTTTACAGTTGTCAAAAAAGCATGCATTAAAGGGTTAAGGTCTGTGAATAATTTTTTTTTGAATATTGTAGTTAATCCGAATGAATTGTAAGTCTAAATTAGTGAGAAGTGATGTGTAAATTAACATTAGTTAAACTTTTCCTTTTAAACAGATTAATAACCAGATTTTTGCAATCAGATGCTCATTCTGGCAAAAAACTGTTTTACATATTATAAAACTGAGTATTTTGTGTGTGACTGAATTAGAAAAAGATTACCATCTAAAGTTTAAGAGCCTTTTAAGAGCAACTTGTACTTTAAAGGAGTTTTATTTTCCTAAGAAGAGTTACCTTCACCATGACTATGGAGTTTTATTTTATGCAATAGTGTTGTAGTAGAGCGATTGCTTTGTACGTGAGAAGTTTGGAGTTCTTCACCACCTGATAGTGTGACGCTTGTTTGTCTGAGCAGTAGTCTTGTTTGCCTGATTTTGTTTTTGTCTGGTCTGGTTTGTTTGCAAGATGTAGGGTTGAGAGAGGGTTGTAACAATAATGAAAAAAATTAATAATAATCATGAAAAAAATTAAAAATAATATGAAAAAATTAATTACTTTCTCGACTGTAGTTGCCCTCTTGACCTTGGGGAGGTAAATAGAAAAGCTTTAACTTTAACTTTCTTAACCATGATACCAGAAATGGATCATGTGAAAGTAAATAAAACATAAATGTAATAAAATAGTAAGTGTTATTATTTATTTGAGTTTAAATATAAGATTTAAAAGAAAAATAACAATAACTATGTTCAATATACATAAAATTTAAACAAGAAAATAAACATTCCTTATATTTTAGAGTGTGATGTTCTAGTTAACAACAATGTCACTGAGTTAACATCATTCATCAAAAAAAGTATTCCAACTGCTCAGCTTCTTTGTGAGACACCATATGAAATATCCTACATATTACCTGACAAAGGGAAAGACAAAAAAGGAAAACTTAGAAATCTTATTGAACGTTTAGAAGATAACAAGGAATTGTTAGGATGTTCTAGTTTTGGTCTACATGACACTACACTTGAAGAGGTATAATTTTTTCTTATATTTTTTTAATTAAGTTCAATTTTATTAATTTAGTTAATAAAAATTTTAAAATTGTTAAATGCGTCATTCCATATGAAGACTTCAGTTGGAAAACCAGCATTGTCACATTTTCTTTATTTTTCAATAGTAAATTAAGTTTAATATATAAGAAAATAAATTAATAAATTAATAAATGTTCCTTAGAATTACATTTAGTTTATTTTTTTAAGATTTTATATCTTATATTTTAATTTTTATATCTATAATAAATCATCAAAAATAAAATAAGAAAAAAAATTAAAGATGTTTTTAGAGAAAATTAATATAATTAAATAGACATCTTTTTTCTTCAGAACCTATTCAGTGGCATAAATACTTTTTCAACCGTCTCATTTTAATAAAAAAAGCAACAATTTGGATCCCAAAACTTATTTAGGCTTTTTTATGTCTAAAAAAAGATCTCCCAATAACCTTAGAGGCTTCAAAAAACAATAGACCCACAACCCTTGCAACTGAAGTTGGCATTTAGCAATGTCGATCTAACTGCTGATCTAAAAATGTCTGAGGTAGATAGAAACATCAAATAACCAAGATGGTTGTCTCTTAAATATCCAAATTGTTTAACGGGGATTTGAAAAAAAGTCTCTGCGGGCTTTTTTTTGCCCGCGGGCAGTAGTTTGCTCACCACTGATCTAACTGATGATCTAAAAATGTCTGAGGCGTTTTTTCGCTGACCTTATTTCTATGGGGTTATGATTAATCCTTAGTGTTGAAACTTCTTTACTGACCTGATGCGTACCACTTACAAAAATTTTTTCACCGACCTGATGCTGACCACTTACAAAGCAAGCGCTCTATTACCTTTTTGTAACCCTTTTTTAAAAACCTTTTTGTAACCCTTTTTTAAAAACCTTTTTGTAACCCTTTGGTCTCGGAATTAGTTTATATTAACTTTAATTGTAACTAAAAATGAATTAAAAATTGAATAAAACGTATTAAAAAAGATTTCTATATATATTGTTTATTAAAAATATTTTGATTTTTGTGATAAGGTGAAAAATTAGCAAATTATTTTGTTGTTTAATATTTTCATGGTTTAGGTAAACCATGATCAAAATATTAAAATTTATAATCCCAAAAGATTTTTATTAATAGAACTCTTAAAACTTAATAATCTCAAGAAATACATTCATCCAATTTTATTCAAAATGTTTTTTTTAATTTTTAGAACTGAAATCAATGAGAAAAAGTTTAATTTTTTATCATTGTTTTATTTTATTTCTACTGAAAACTATTCATAAGTTGTCTTGTTAATACTTTGATTAAATTATGTATTCAAAAATACCAAGTTTCAACATGTTTATAACATAGGTTTTATAACTAAATATATAGAAAGGTCTTTATAAGTTATTTTTTAAATGAAACATCAATATAGTTTAATTTAATAACTAAATAATTTTTTATTTGCTTTAAATATATCAGTTAACATCTAGTAATTTACTTTAACAAATACCACTATAACTTAAACTCTTGATGACTTATATATATATGGGCGTTTCCAAAAAATCACGCACGGAACATTGCATCTGTTGCATTAATTATTTTGAAAATAATGCAATTTGTAACCACTGACTTACTTTTATTTAATTGACATCTATGTATATATTACCTATACAAAGTATGGTAGCTATGGGTTGCTTCATTATAAAATAAATGAATTTTTTAATGGAGTCATGCACGGAACAGAAAAAAGCAAAAAATAAAAAATTAATAAATGAATCCTATTTTCTCTGAAAATGTATTAGTGACGAGTGTTTTGTTTTTTATAGGTAATTATACAAGCATTTTTAAAGATTTTTACAAAGTTACAGCATTCTACAATGTATCTTTGTTCTGTAATAGTAGTTTCAACCAAAATTACGCACGGACAAAAAAAGAGTAACGAACGGAACATGCAAACATTCGTCATTTTCGGATTGTATTTTTGGAAATAAATATTACAACAATCACAAATAGCATATATATCAATTCTAATTAATTTAATACACCTTGGATTAAAAATAAATACTTAAGTGTATTATATTGGCGATAAATAATGTATTATATAGTTAATAATATATTAAAGATAAGAAAGATACAATATCAAATTTTTAACAATATGTTTAGTGGTAACACTTCGGCTCGACAATAATATGTCCACGGTTATCAAAGTGTGGTTGTGGTACTAATGGTTTTAACTCACACAAGTCATGCCAAGAGAGGTCGTCTACAGATGGGTATATAAAAATGAGTTTGTTTTGTTCTTTTAGGAATTTAATATGTGCCATATTATCTAAAATTTCTAATACTTCGGCAAGGTATGTCTTTGCTCTACCAGCAGAACGCAATTCTACCAAGACAAATATACCTGGAAAAATAGTATCAAATTTGTACTTTTCAGACAGGGATGATACCGCGTTTATCAATAATGAAGATGATGAATTATTAACAATTTTTACCATTTCTGATCGGTTACTAATTGCCATGTAAGCGCCATCAATATTAAAAAGAAAAGAGTGGTGGCGACGAATACCTTTGACTTTAAACTTATCTTTGAGAAGCGTCTCATCGATCTCACTTTGTTTTGCGGTAATACACTCATTTGTAATAGAGATGATCTAAAAAAATAAAAATTTAATAACCAAAAGTTTCTTATCTTTAACTTTCATTTTGAGGTTTTTTCTATAAATAATGACTTACATTAATTTTGGTATTTTTTTTACTTGCAATGCTCACAAAATCTTCTAAACTGCGACAATATCGTTTTCCAGATTTTACTGTTGTCCAAACCATTCTTTTTATTTCTCCACCTATCTCATCAACTGTCCCCTTTCCGTGTGATGTTGCAAAAAATGACCAACGAATCTCAAGAAGATCAGATGATAATTTGTACAAATTATTCATGGCTGTCATGACATAAGAGTTTTTGAATTGTGATGAAGGCCCATCAGTGAAAAAGTGTAATTTACAAATATTATGATAACGATTTAATAATTCTTTGATAATGAACAAGACGGCATATTTATCATGAAGTAAACAATCGGATACAATGGCATAGGAATGTGTATAGTTTTTACTCCAAATTGCTGCAGTGAATACTGTTAGTTGCTGATGAACCCAGTAAGCAGATTAAATTTCACTTTGCTCCATTATGGTGTAATTTTCACTGAAATCCATCTAATTTTAGAAGAATTAAAAATATAAATGGATGAATAATAAGTTTATAAATATTAATACAAAATTATTAAGTTTTGTTATCGTACTACAAATAAAGTTACAATTTTACTTACTTGTATAATCAATTCATTTTCTGATACATTTTGGGGACATAAACGAAAATATGCACTTTGTTGTCGCTTTATATAGGCATGACGTGTATAATCTGGCAATTGCTGACGCAGTAATACACACCTCTCTAACAAAGATGTTAGTGGTTGTTCAATTTTCTGTGCGTTTTCTGAGGACCATTGGTCAAAAACAAAGAGCGGTTTGTTGGAATCGTCACCAAATGAGTCTATTACATTAGATACATATTCATCAAACTTTGGCAACCCACAGTTTGCTTTACATTCCATAAACATGCAAGATTGGTTGTTTTGATTACACACAGATCTGTCAACTATGTCTGACATAATATTAAATTTTTTTTGAAGGGCATTCGTTAACAACCTGAAATTTTCATGGTATGTGCAAAGGCAAATATCGTGAGGAAGATTGTTTACTAGCTTGACATAGAATGGCCGCAGATCGTAAAACTTAGATTTGCCCACTTTTAAGTTAATATGCTCACTTTTAAAAAGTGAATATGCTTCTCCTATGGTCATCAGCATGTGACGAATTTGTTTCTGAAAAAAAACAAAAATTGTTTACAAAAACTGAAAACCTTATTAAATAAAATGCGATCCTACATATAAACGATGTGTCATACCTTCTCCTTTGTTTTCTTATCAATAGCAACATCTTTACGTCCTGGAGCCATTCTACTAATATCTTCTTGCAAATAAAAATCAAGAACTTTGAAATTAACATCATCCAAACCGGCGTAGTCAGGACCTGAATCTGAAATATTAGAAAGTAGTATGTTTTCACGTTTACAAATTTCTTTTAAAAGGTATTTTCTTTTGTTTGAATAGGCAGGTAATGCTGAATTAATTTTTTTAAGTGCCTTTCCAAAACTCTGCGGAGATAAAAAGGATTGTTCAATATCAGATTTAGATTGATTCACCTCTCACTTTTGCTTCTTTCTTTCGCGATCTTTTTGACGTACTTCCTTCTTTTTTTTTTTTGCTCATGTTGGCTCTTTTATTTTTCATTCGATTAGTTTCAGCAATCCGATATTCTGGATGTTTCTTTCTAAATTTTTTAGAAAGAAATTGCTGAAATATATATATATATATATATATATATATATATATATATATATATATATATATATATATATATATATATATAAATATATATATAAATAAATATATATATATATATATATATATATATATATATATATATATATATATATATATATATATATATATATATATATATATATATATATATATATATGTATATGTATATGTATATATATATATATGTATATATATATATATATATGTGTATATATATATATATATATATATATATATATATATATATATTATATATATATATATATATATATATGTATATATATATTTTTGAGGAATTGTCTATTTTGACTTTGTTTAAAAGTCAATATTGTTTATTCTTAAGATGATGTTTATAAGCTTTAATTTAACAGCTGAATGTAATTATACTTTTATTACCATAATGTTGTTTTTAGAATAATTTTACTTTGTGTTCTATTATTATACTTAAAAGTAACCTATTTCAGGCTTGGTCGGAAAGCGGGTGCGATCGCACTTGATAATTGACCACGGAAACAATATTTAATTGTGAAAAACCGGCCAGATTTTTTAGTCGTTTTG